CAAGGAACATAATTTGATAAATTCATTAATGATTTTGATTAATAATTCTTGATTATTTTGGTACATATGTATGTGCATTTATGCTTAATTTTATAATAAAGCGTAAGCTCTCTATTGCTATTTAACTCACTAAATTCGACATACATAAACTATGTATCATCAAAGTACATACATATACATAACATATATAATCTTACCATTGGATATGTAATTTGTCGGATTACAAGGTACTCTTTTGTAAAAAAATCCGGACAATAGGGGGTCTTCTTAGGCGGTGCTCTATAATCCGAGAAATTCGATAGTCCGACACTGCCCTGCATAATGTTTGTCGGATTACCGGAGGTCCACTGTATAGGTAACCGCGACCTGGATCATATTAGAAAAAAATATTTGCGAATGTAAACTTTTTCAACTCGTTCTGGGACTTTAGACTCAGTTCTTGATTCTCCTCGATTAATGACTCTTAGATTTAGTACACAATACAAAACATAAAAGCAGAAATGAATAGCAACTACTGGACCTTCAACTATATGAACTCTGTCATAACGTAAATTATTCACAAAAAATTATACGCTCAAACTGTACTTTGGCACGTTGTTACGATAACAGACAAAACGATAACGTTCAAGACTAATGCGACGGACTAGAGTTCCTGATGTTTGTAATAATTCAAATTATTACAGATATTAACTGATCGATATTTTATATTAGAAAAGACCAACATGTCATTCTATTGAACATTGTCCTTGGGTCAAAAACCAAACTTTTAATTTAGGTTTGTATAATAGTCTTTGTTGATAAAATCGGCTTATGGGGGATTTAAAAATTAATCAGATTCAGTACAGAAGTTAAATGAGTGGTAGTATCCAGGTTATAGAACTGACATGGCTTTTCGTGGTGTACATACATGTTTGTACACAAAGTGCCATCTTTTACCAGAATCGTTCCCTGCGAAAGTGAAAACATCAAGCTGTCTGTTGGAACCTTATGCCAGCCCGCGTTGCCAGGCGGGTCACCACCGTGGCCGCTAGATGCCGCCGATTCTGGCGCTATAGTAGATACGGTCTACTTGCCATTGAACAAACTAGTAATATATAGCTTTCGTTCGTCCACAGTTATGACCCGGCTGGAAATACGAACTGGCATACAGTTCCAACAGACATCTTACTGTTTTTTTTCGTAAAAGATTGCACATTGTGCTGTATTATTTCGATAGAATTTATACCGTGAATGGAGTAGAGTGGCTCAGCTTTCGTTGTTGTCCAACGAGACCAAGCCTACACCATGCTGAATTGTTGTCAAATAGCACGAAATAGCTATCCATGGTCCTGTCTTGTCATCGGACGAACGAAATCTATATTACTAGTTTGCAATGTCTCAATTTTCTCGGGTACAGTACTTCCTCGCCAATTGACGTGGGATATAAAATGATAAGAATTATACTATTCATAAATTGATCGAAATTAGAAAATTTCCATGACTGCTATTATCTAATACGTTAGAACAGTCTTTTGTAATAGGTATACCAAGACATATATTTTGTCAAAATAGATAATATCAATAGAAATGAAACTAGACAATTCTCGTTCGCCCCATAGCGATCTAATTATATCATTTGTTGATCGCCGTTGACCTTAACACACATTTTTCCTGAACTCTCAATCTCATTCGTATGTTTGCATACAGAGCGTACTCACAAGATCGCTACAAGAAGAAAGTCAATGCCACTGCCACTGGCATATCGTTAATATTCATGAGAGCAAAGTATGAAATTCGCGCGATTGTGCTAACGGGTTTTAACTGCGGCTTTTGATGACTACCGGAAAAGTACTATGTTTCTATGAATATTTGGACAGTTTTATGTAAAATATATAAATGGGTCAAAACTAAAATTTCACGACCTGGCTTGGCGGGTCTTATCTCAGATCGGTTTCCTCATTCTTTTTCCTTTTTCACCGTTTTATCTGCCACCACTGGACCGCTTTTCAACAGATACAAAGCTTTTGCGTTCTTGGCATAGTAGTAATAGTAACATTGTGGAAAAATTTCATCGAAATCCGAGCGGTACTGCTCACGTTATAAGCGGTTATAAGTTTAACGGACAGATCGACAGGCAGACAGACCGATGGAAATGAGTGACATGAGTTTTTTGTGATGTACATTGTGCATTTTCGAAAATGTTTGCGATTACAATACTTCCCAGCCAATAGGCGTGGAAATTAAAAACTTGAAATAATGAGCGTCGGTAATTTTTTCATTTTTTTTTTGAGCAAAATTGCGTCCGTAAAAATTATTTTCGAAAAACACGTTTTTGAAGTTTGATACGTCGTCCCTAAACCTATAGATCTGAAAATTTGGCGAAGGTAATTTGACCCAATATACCTGATTTTGTGTTGATCCAGATTTAGATACCTATGGGGCATATTTCATTCTAAAGACTGCGTGTTGAATGTCAGGTTTTCTGAAGTAATCATTTATTCAAACTGTTACGAGATGGTATCTTGTTTAGAAAGTATTCGCAAATTTGGCCTGCAAATTACATTGTAACAGGATATCTCCGCACTCTCATTATATCAACACCACCTTACGACCTTGATTATCCGTTGGGTTAATTTAGTTTTGTTTACCGTTTACGAAGTTGCATGTTTACAATATACTTAATGAAAGCATTGCGACTCGACTTTGATAGCTGAAATTGTATATTTTTAAGTGCGATATTAATTAGACATTTGGGATACATTATAAAAATCGTTATATTTATGTGAAAAATATTTTCATTATTTTGTCTTTCGACGTTACTGGGAAAAGCTGTTTGAAGTGTATTCGCTGGAAATGATAATAGTTACTGCTTTCTATTATAGGATGATTGAAGGTTGTAAGCAGGTCTTTAACATACCGAGTGTAACAAAAGTAATGGAACTGCTCTGTATTTTTCCAGGCAAGTATTTATGAAAAATTTCAAGGCCAGGTCTATACGAACTATGTACAAGAAGCTCAATGGCGACCTTGTATTGGACGTTGCCCCACCTAAGCGGCTATTCAGGGTCAACTTTTGTTGATATAAATGGACAGTCCCCTTTTTGAGCCAGGTAAAGAATGGAAAATTCTAGGTTCGCAAGATGTCAGCTGAAGTTCACGTTGAAAGGGCAAATAAAGGTCAAACGTGTGCGGCTAGGGAAAATTCCTTGAAGCTTAGCAAACAAATTTTCTTTAGCAAAACTTAACAACGACTCAAATGGTGACCCTAGATTCTACCTTGAACTTCACCTTCAAGGTCACTTCAAATTCAACTTTTTCTTAAATTTGGAGCTCGCACTTTTGATACCGGCAATGGAAAATTTTACATTCTTACAAGTATGTACTATTATCACTTTGAAGGTCAAATCCAAGGTCATTTTAAGATCAACTTTTGTTAAACTGAGAACCCGCACTTTGACATCGACAATGGAAAATTTTACGTTCTTTTTTACTATTATGGCCTTAATGACGGTCAAGGTCAAATGTAACGTCACCCTAGTTAGTATAGGCCTGACTTTGACCTTTTTTTACCTTACCTGGAAAAATACAGTTACTTTTGTTACTCCAGGTAGAAATGTGTGCAATTTGCGGTTCTATGTTTCCATCTTGTTGATTTTGTCTTGTCCCAAATACCTGTACCTCTGTAGTAATCCTTATATTCGTTAACAGTCAGTAAGACCTTTGGTCTTGCTTAATGTTATGTATGTCAGAGGTATGTCATCAGGCTCGTCAAGTCTGGCTCCCAGACACTAAACAAAGGTCAATGATAGGAAAGGCAAAGAGGAGGAAATACCTGGATTAACGTGGCATTATCAACTAGGCTTCTGGAATTTGAACTCATGTTTATATTGTCATCTTATATGTCCGTTGTCTATCTCTTCCTCTCTCTATGTTTTAAATTAGATTCCTCTTCAATAACTAACTGGAATCCAAATCAGTTTTAAAAAAACCGATGTTGCTACTAAGCTGTAGTCACATGAGTGACGGATATTTGAACTCAAAAGGCGTAATTTCAAGGCTTGGAGGTCAGTCGAAGATGTAAATGTTTTGCAAATATAGCCACTAGGCGGGCAAAATGCAACGTGTTTTATAGAATATTTTGCGCGGTATTAACCAGGGAAATTTAGCTGTGACAACAGTCTAATTTGTTTTATCCATAAATTACATCTAAACCCGATTACTTTTCATCTCGTGCGGTGTGTTCTAAGGGAAGGTTGAAGACTAGTCGATAAATGGCGATTCCAATTTTTGTTTTCTTAGTTTCTCTAGTCTAAATTTATAAGTGTGTGCGTCGGGATAGTTTAGACATTTCATTTACTTTAAAACCCATGATTCAATGTACATTCAAAGTTCTATAATAATGACGTGAACTATGTTTGCCTACAAGGATTTCCCACAAGTAGGCATTTTTAATCTAGTCGCTAATCCAATGGCAGGATTTGTTGTAACAACTTGGAATAACTACCTCAATGTTACCCAGATCCCTATAATTACGTTATGGCCCGTCTCTAAAATGCCTAAAATATACTCGTACTTTCAAATGCAATTAATTATTGTAATTGTAGGATAACCTTAGTTTTAGAGAATCGTTGATTTTGGTATTACCGAAAAATTCCAGTACTTACATAAAATGTTTAAATATAGATGAAAAAAAGGACTTGAATAATCATCAAATATAATAAGAAACTCAATAATCACTATGACTTGATCTCTTATAATAACATTGTAGCTGGTGTCATCAGCACCCCCGGCGCATAAGTTATAAGAAAAATATTAAACTCCTTTTGGGTATGCCCTTTTAAAACACATATTTTTATTCAATGAGCGTATAGGTTCATAACTCGATTAAGGTCCACCTATCTTTGCGCTCCCTTGAGACTTGCGCCCTTAGAAGTACGAGATATGACTCCGAACTCCGATGATGTTAGTTTTTGAACATTTATCGTCATACAGCGAAAACCTGGAAAAGCTTGAATACTGACCTTGTTCAGTCCAGGTATCCTCATCCTGTCTATCCCGGAGGTGATGCTTGGGATGACGTTGTCTCCGTTGCCCCACATGCCGATCCTGTCCCTTTCCATGTTCTCGAAACTGGAGTTGTCTGTACAGATTTTTTGGGAGGGCTGTCCGCGACGATTGCTCGTTGAACAGGTGCTGGAATACAAATTCAGGCACACCAAGGTGCCGGCGGTTCAAATCGGTATGTGAATGCGAGTTATACGGCGGAGCTCGCGGATGTGTGTGGATAAGTGCGCGGTGCGAGGTTGCCGATTTCAATATTAAGTGGCAGATTAGAGGATATACAGTTTGGCAAATCCAGCTTGCCCTGTGGAGTGCAATGGCGTAGCGTGGCTTTTCGCCCCCTGGGGCCGACCGAAAATTTGCCTCCCCGCTCTATGTTACTTATCATTCTTGAAAATTAGTGAAAATCAAAAAGCACCTTGAAATTCTTTAATTAACTAAGAAAGTAGTTTTCGTGTTTTTTTTTTCATAGCAAAATCTTCGACCTACATATGCGCCTGACGTCACACCCAGCGAGACATGTACTACAGTGATCAAAAAGTAAGGTGAAATTGTCATTTAAAACTCCCTGGCATTAGGGAGGCAGGTAAATTCTTTTTTTCTAGGTCTGTTTGTCAAGAGGTTTAATTATCTCCGAGTTACACGTGTTTTTGTAAACAACCAAAAGTAATTTTTCGATTTTTACAATGGGTGATTTTGTTGTGCAAATTTTGTTTGCGGAGCGAATATTCTTGTGCGGACACGTTGAACATGTTGCGGAAAGCCTTTGGTGATCAAACTATGGCACAAAACACCGTTTACAAGTGGTTCATCGAGTTCAAAGCGGGCCGAGAACGCGTTGAAGACGAACCGCGCTCTGGACGACCATCAACGTCTACCGACGAAGTCCACGTCCAACAAATCAAAGATTTGGTGCTTGAAAATCGTCGGTTGACAATTAGACACCTCGCCGATAGTGTTGTAATATCATTTTACTCAGCCCCAACCATTGTGACGGATGTTTTGTGTCTCAAACGCGTCTCGATTGGTACCAAAATCGCGTTGTGCGTGAAACTGTGCTATCTGACTATAAGGACCACTTGGAATGCATCATTACTGACGACGAGACTTGGATTTACGCATACGACCCTGAAACCACCGACCAATCCAGCGAATATCGTGCAAATGGTGAAGCAAGACCGAAAAGACCACGGCAAACTCGATCGGAAATCAAGGTCATGTTGACAGTTTTCTTTGACTATCGTGGTGTGGTGCACTATGAATTCCTTCCGCCGGGCTAAACTGTCAACAAAGAATATCATTTGAGCATTATACGTCGTTTGCGTGAAGCTATTCATCTGAAACGGCCGGAACTATGGGCCAACAGCTCTTGGTTCCTTCATCACGATAATGCATTGATTCTTCGCAATTGTTTTTGCCAAACACTCGACTCATATCATTCCGCAACCACCGAATTCGCCTGATTTGGCTCCGTGCGACTTCTGGCTATTGAGCAAACTCAAAAGGCCAATGCGGGAACGCCGCTTTGACACGATTAAGGAGATAAAAACAGAATCGAAGGAGGTCTTGAAGGTTATACCGGAAAAGACTATTCCGACTGTTTCGAGGACTGGAAAAAGCGTTGGCAAAAGTGCGTTTTATCGGACGGGGATTACTTTGAAGGGGATGAAATTGATTTCGAAGCATAAATAAAGAATTTACATTTTATAAACAATTTCACTTTTTGATCACAGTAGTATGTACATAAAAATATCTCCTATTTCAAAACTTGTTTACGCTATATTTTGGTGTAAAAACATGAAAATAAAAGTGTTCTAAGTTTCCTAAATTTTAGCTACAAACGTTAACTATGTATGGTACCTTAATCCTTACTTTAATTTAAAATTTTATGTTTCAGTCAAAAAGACCGCGTGTTTCAAATTCGACTCTCACCATTGGGATCCCGGAAACGGTAAAATACTGAATTCGGTTAAATGGGAGAAAAGTTGCAAATATAGGTAACTAAGCAGATAGCACATAGAAAGTTTCGCAATTCCGAATATTTCTTTTTTATTTTTTTTTGCTTGACATTCAATTGAAAACTATTAATTTGAGTAACTGATAGAAACATTGCAGAGTAAATGAAGGATTCGATGATGTGGCAGTTCGCTACATACGTTTCATATCTAGAAATATTTTTTTTTAATTACTCACGTTATTTCCTGTTCAAAAATCCAAAATGGCGTCCATTAGAAAAAACGGAAGTTGATAATTAAGGACGCCAGATTGGGATTCTAATTATGCCACCTTGCAGAAGAGCAAAAGTGGCAATGCTTTTATACTTTTTACTTTACAATTCCATTCCAAAGTCAGGATAAAATATAAGCGATTTTTGGGAATTTTTTTGTCGATGCTCAGAATTGTGAAACTTTCTAAGTGTCATTTTCTTAGTTGACTAAGTGCGGAACTTTGTCCCATTTAAGCAACATCGTATCATTTACCGCCTTTTGAGACCCCAATAGTGAGAGTCTAATTTTTTATACCCGGTATAAAACACTATATTTAATTAGTAATATAAATAGCTTTTGCCGGCCATCAGAGATTTCGAACTATGATATCGATATTTTGCAGGATCTTAGGAATCAGAGTCTCCATACGGATACTTAGTTATGTGGTTCCTGTATCTGCCTTCCGGCTTCATCATCAGGTGAGCTCACCGGTACGATAATATTGTATTGCCATCTGACTTAATGCATGTAATTTTTCAGCTTATCCGACCACCGCGAAGTGGATCAATTTTGACTTGCTTTCTTGCTTGCTGTCTAACTTCGCATTATTAATTCCGTTTATCAACGGGTATGAACTACTTCAGTGGGCTATCAACGCTGGGGCTATTTGTCGCATTCCCTTTCCGTATGCCGATCAGGGCAACGGCCCCATCTGCCCCCCTCTCGCTACACCACTGTGCGAATGCCATATATAGGTTAAGTGGTGAGTGCCACTGTACTTTTGTATTAGTTCTTACAGTTCCACTGACTCTGTGGTTTGTGCATCTCACGGCTAAAGCTGGATTTGCTCAACTATTCGGAATAGACCAAGAGATTTTACAACGTAACTTTATTGTTTGGATGTTTGGGGGATGAAAAGATTCCTCTCTAGAGGTAAAAGATGAAAACTGTATAGTATTGGCTTAAATGGTCTACAGAAGGCATGACTGAAGAGAAGGTCCAGGTGGAATCTACTAGGGGTCTGGGCTCCACCTCCCAAAATATCAAAGTTTAAAACAATTCGAACGAGTTTTCTTTTTAGAAACGTCGATCCCCTCCTCCCCACTCTTAAAATTTTAAATTATTGATACTTCCTCTCCCCCGAGATGGAGATCTTCCTGAATAGCCTCCCAGCATTTTTTTTGAGCGGGTAATTTGAAATTCACCATATAGACCCCCCCAAACAAAATTTTCAAGATCTGCTCATTTCTGAAGGGAATTAAAATGCATCCGAACTGTGACGGTATATGGTGAATTCATCATTAAAAAAAAGTAAAAACTCTTTAAATTTATTTTTATACAAATGTGTGGCAATAAACCTGACATAATAGCCAAAAGTTAGAGCCTTTGTAATGAGCGGTACTAAAGAGTTCAGTTTAAATTGCTCAATTTTCTAATTGTATTTTTTACAAGCTGTAAAGTGTAAGGTCTACTTATCATCTACAGTTCGTCTGTAGACCACTTTACCTAGCAAGATTTTTATATCCCTGGATGGGGCTTTTCATTTACCCTTGACGTTATAATTCCACCATCACTTTTTCTAAAATAGTGCCCATTTTTTGATAGTTCGCCGGATCTAGAAATTGCTGCATTGGTTTTGTAACAGAATTACAGATAAGTTTTGGTACATACTGGGAGACGGGTAAGAAGAGGAAGAATCCGCCGGCATCCCGCCATCCTGCCACGGTATTTGTAAGCAATCGGGGGATACTACGGAAGGTTTTTCGAAAATACATTTGATTTATGATGGACGAAAGCATCATGTCTAGTTCATTCAGTGGCAAGTAGACCACATCTACTATACAGCCAGAGTCGTCACCCATCTAGCGGTCACATGGTGACTGGGCTACGTAAACTTAGGTTTTTACAGTTCCAATAGCAGCTTTCTGCTCTCCGCAATGGCTTATTCTGGTAATAAATGGTGCTTTGCGCTGTTTTATTTTGGTCTTTGACATAAATAGGTACTTCGTACTCAATCAAAGCACTGTGTCTACAGAGGTATTGAGATAAGTCACCGTACACAGGAAAATGCAGCATTTGGCGGAGTGCTCATAAACTTTATATAAAATGCTGTTAAAAGTGCAAATTAAATAATCACAACGTCAAGAACAATTTCAATTCTAATCCCGAGGGTATGAAGTGTTAGCTTGACTTTTAAACATATTTTGGCATATGTAACACGGTTTTTGGCAAAGTGCCTTTTGATCAGGGAAATTTATCACTGAGCGTCGTAATTTTTCGAGATATGTCGGCTTGCCAAGAGAGTTCGCGGGCTATTTTTTACATTTTTCTGAGTGTACGCTGACGGGAGAAAAATTCCAGTCGATGCTCTTCCTTGCCGTCCCCCAGTATGTGCGGTATTGGCGTAAATACGGGTACCTAGTACAGCATACAGCACGAGCAATATATTTCGGTCCTTGCGGTTTTTTAAAGAGAATTCCTTGGTGCCAGCAAAACAAATGCAGAACGGTTGAGGGAGCACTGTAATAGTAAAATATGAGTGGACGATCAAACTTGTATATTTTCCAATACAAAATCTAATCAAAATAGGTAACTGTGCTACTTTGTGTGCATATAGATCCCTCTTTAATGTTTCTAATTATAGTATTTCACAGTGACACTGAGAGATTTTCTGTATGAGTGTTATACTGCTATGCTAAGCACAGCGGGGTATATGCATCTAACATAGCATCAAAGTTTAAATCTTTTATTCATTTGTACAGACACGTCAATCAAGAATGTAGAAAGAAAACTTTGCCAGTGGGTAGAGAAAATCACACTGGTTGGCTAGGTCTCAATAACCAAATATGCTCGAAAATTGCAGATACTCTGTCTGTGCTTAGTACGGCAGTATATTGATAGTCTTGCAACTCGGTACCGGGTTACGCTTTCCTGCCGCGGTTTGCGCGCGGAACTGCATCTTTAGGAAAATTAAACCATTTCAGGATCTTTTGCAATAATATATACCCTCTGCAAGGAAGAATTCAAGCAGACGGCGATCGAAGTGCTTATCACTAGATCGTTGGAAAGGTAATAGGAAATATGCATGTGATTCAAAATTAATTATTTATTTTTATTTACAGAAAGTCATCTCGACCTTATTCTATACTTGTTCGCTATAAAGTTACGAGTATTTATTGATAAGAAAATGGGAAAAATACTCGGCAAATCAAAAATATCGAAACGTAACGCTGTTATTGATTTTCAACCTATCAGTTTGATCGGTTCCCAAGAGTACTGGTTGACAGGAAGTCCGCCACTTTTTTAAATGACAAGTGGGAAAAATTCGCTTTGTAGTCTCTAGTAATTAAAAACTAATCATATATGGATATAAGGTAGTTCCGTGTTCTGTACTTACGTTAAAATGATCTTCACAATAATATGAAATACTTTATATATAGATAATATAGAAGTATTATACCTTTTTATAATTTTAATGTTAATATTATCTACATGGGCACATTACATTACTTATAATAAGCTTCCCGTTCTTTATTTTTTTCAATTAAAACTATACTATATAAAATAGAACCTTTCAAAACAGCAAATCATGAGATAGCAAATTAACCAAACATGGAATAAAATGATAAATAATTAGTAGTAACGTCACTGCGAAGTGCGCACAAAATGTGGCGTTTAAATTAACGTTAAATGTTAATACAAAAGAATGTACAACCCCTATTATTGATGCTTCAGAACATATTTAAATGAGCAATAAATTACTTATTTCCACTGTTTTCGCTTGTATATACAATATATCCATTTTGTATTACGGAGCCGGATCTGGGTAAATGCGGCAACGTTGCTTGTGCCACTCGCGAAAAACCCAAACAGCTGACGACGCCTGGCGTCCGCGCCGTCGGCGTCGTCAGGTGTTGCGTCATTGGTCGGTATGGCTATCATGCGATTCCAATACGTGGGATGGTGAATGATTTCTTCGCTACAAGGGGGATAAACATTTTCTGATGATACTCGGCTACGGCAACGAAAAATAGTAGCATAATATATATACACCACTACTACGCTACCACGTGCCTTCATTGGCCGTAAAAACTTTCAAATTCAGATTTTTCAAGAAGCACCGGAAAACCGCTTTTAACCAATCGTTTTTGACTAACTAGGGTTGGGTACTGCTCCTGTGCCAAAGTCGGTGCGAGCGGATCCCCCCATATTCAAAGACACAACGCGTTAACAGTTGCATTCGATGTATTTTTCTAATCCCTTCCGTTTCGGTACCAGACTATAAACAAGTCTTAGGTCGTATCCGGCTTCGGTTGCCGCGAGCGACGAACCCTATTGAGAAGATGTCGAAAGAAGCTGTTTTGACCAGCGATTGCTTCAAGGGGTTTTATACGAAAAATTTTGACCAAGTAAGTAGCATATGTGAATGCGTATGTTCTCAATTCAAATTAAAATTAACAAAACCAAATTCAATTATTATCAAAAAGGATTTCGAATAGGTCAGGTCGATACTAAAATGGAATAAACCAAGCTGTCAGTGTTTTTACAGAATATGACATGGATTAACTGCCTTGTCACAGCTTGGTAAAGTAGCATGTGTTCAGGAGTCCAAATTTTTAATGACACTTGCCATATGAACCCGATTTTGACGGGAAAGGTGAAATGTATAGGCTTTTGATTGCAGTCGTTACATTATTGAACAAAATTTTGTACTGCAACGACAAAAATCCAGTTTTGGCAAGTAAAAACATTCCTGTGGCTCCTCAGCCTCCTTATTCGCCTGACTTGAGTTCTTGTGACTTTTTCTCTTCCCGAAGTTGAAAAATCACTTTAAGGGAACTCAGTTTGGGACAGTGGAAAACATTCAAATGGCTGTAACCGACGAGATGAAGGCTATTTCATCATCGGGGTTCCAGCACTGCTATGAGGAGTGTGAGAACCATATCCAGTTCTGTGTGGCTTCAGAAGTCATTTTGAGAGTGGCAATAAAAAATTGTAATTATAGTTGATTAAAAAATTTAAAAAATCAGTCTCGTCGCTTAGTTTGCGGACCTCGTATGTTTTCATAAATATCTAGATTCTGAATATTCGAACTGGAGATACAGTCACGTTGCATATATTATGTAAACGGCTACAGTTTTGGTAAAAACCTGTAAATCTAGAAATTCATAAAAGAACATGTTTGATAGGATCAAATCGCACGCTTTTGGTGAACATTAGCACCTGCGAGAAATAACACGGCCGTCAACGAGTTCCTACAGAATGCCTATAATGGATTAATGCTGGCATAGATACTTATTATGCTATATTTTACTTGTATAGTCTTGAATAGTCATCCAAAATGTAATGTGCAAGATATAATACTAAATCATATGTTTGAGGTCATATGGTGTTGATACCACAAACATTACATCTTGTATGATGACCTACTTGCAAGTAAAAAGAACAAGTAGCATGATTGTCGATGTCAGTAACGCTACCCAGAAGTTCATTATTTGGAGATCTATCTTGTTGGAGTGCGACACTGAGTGATGACGTCACACGACACCAGCTACCATCGGTACCACAAAGCGATGCGCCCACCGCGACATTTGCAAACGTTGCTCTGCTCCGTATTTACGATTTACCGTAAAGACGGTAAAAAAAGGGTTAGACCATGGACTTACAAATACTGCATTGTACCTAGCTGTACGAATACAGGCATATCAGCATGTTTAGCTGTGCCAAAACATAGTGACATATAAATCCGAACACCCAGTTTAAATGGTTTTATTTTAATAAAATTTTGTATAAGTACTTAATGAAGCATAATAAGTAAATGATAAAAATTCCAAAATGATTGCACTGCTTTAAAGCCCTTTGACATTTAATAATGTGTGGATGCACCTTGATGTGCTACGCATTCTCCAACGCGCCTAGGCATGCTTCTGATCAGGTGGTCAATGTCCTCCTGTGGTATCTCATTCCAGGCAACCACCAACTCCTCTCGAAGTGCTTCTAGAGTCTGAGGAGGACGTTGCAAATTGAGCAATCTCCTACCCATCATATCCCACACGTGCTCAATTGGTGGCCATGGTAACAATGTGACATCATTATGTTGAAAGAAGTCTATTGTGACTCTTGCAACATGTGGTCGGGCATTATCTTGTTGGAAAGTTGGATCTGCCAGGGTGTCAAGATAGGGTAAAAGACGGGGTTCTACAGCTTCGTGGATATAACGCTGCGCGTTCATGTTACCTCCGATGAAGATTAAAGGTGACCTGGAACCATAAGCTATAGCACCCCAAACCATAACTCCAACAGTGTGATGAACATGTCTTTCAACAAGAAACTGTGGATTCCTCCTTTCACCACGTCGCCTTCTAACCCTGGCACGACCATCGTGCATGCCTAAACAAAATGGAGACTCGTCACTAAAGACAATACTGTTCCATTCCTGATCCCAGAGTGACCGTTGTCTGTACCACTCAAGGCGATTACGTCGGTGTTCTCGAGTTAAACGGAGGACCCAGTGTGGCCGGTATGAAAACAAGCCAAAACTTCTCATTCGTACGTAAACACTTCGCATGCCAATAGGTCTTCCGTGTTCTGCAAACCATTCACTTGCAATGGACCTGGTAGTGGAGAAACGGTCCCTTAAGGCCAATAATCTTAGGCGGCGATCTTCACGGTCTGTTGTTCTACGGCGGCGTCCAGTGCCCCTTGCTCTTTGCGTACGGCCTTCTCGAAGCCATGCCTGACAACACCTAACCACAACGTCTACACTTCTTTGCACTCTAACTGCAATTGCCCGAAAAGAAAGTCCAGCTTCCCGAATCCCACTATACGGCCCCTATCAAACTCGCTAAGTTGACGAAATCGTACAGGTCTCCGTACTCTAGGCATCGTAACCGATCGTAAAGGATGTCAAGAACCAAAATCCGCCAACGTTGATTCTTTACTGCGGCTGAAATATTCATTTTTAGAGCGTTAGTGAATTAAAAAAAGCAGTATAAAAACCGGATTGTCCAACTGATAAGGCTGAAATTTTTTTCACTTGTTATTTACAGTAAGATAAATACATTCACCACTAATAAAATAAAACCATTTAAACTGGGTGTTCGGATTTATATGTCACTTAGTATATTTAAAGGAATGGGAGCAGGGTAATAAACAGAGACAGGGGCGATAAAAGTAGTAAGTAGGTATTTAGTTAATATGGTAATAAGAATCAAAATAAATATTAGTGTATGAATGTGCCTATTGCCCATTGCTATAGTGGTCTTGTTGTGGCTGAAGGGGCAATACTCCTTGAACCTGGTCTGTGTCGACATGAAGATGGATTGACGTGGTTCAGAAACCAAAAAATCAGGACAATAGTGCAAAAAAATTGTATAATCAAATAGTGTCACATTTCAAAATAATCAGCGGTATTGGTATTTGGAAAAATGGACTGGGGAGTCGAAGATATGTATAATTATGCAATGGCATTATACCACAACAATATCATGTGTAATATTTTTCCCATAACTATTGAATTTAAAAAGGGTTAAAAAGGCTCCGCTCAACCTCATATAGTAGCATGTTTATCAGACACCCATTCAAGAAATATGTCGATATTTAATTCGTTATTAGAAATCTTAAAAACAATTGAAACTTATGAGGGTGATTAAAATATGTTTTGCAAACATAGCCGCCATATTAGAACCACATCTCCAACTTAAATTTGAGCTCAATCAAGACATTTTTAGCAAATATGTACACCATATTAAATCCGGCATCATATTCTTTATCAGCGATCTGGAAAATGTAGAAATTACTTTTTTGGAAAATCTAACAAATCTATTTAATTTTGGTCATAGTTTAGGACCTTTGAACCACTTGTGGAGTCGATCGCATGTAGGCTTAATTATAAACGTTAATGCGTGCCAAAACGTAACTACTTCGTATAGTATATCCTTCTGAGTGACATTAGAAATGTTACACCCAGAAAAAATCATTTCAACTTGATTTTTTGGCAATTACATCAAGAATGAAACGATAACATTCTCACGAAATTTTATTGACAAGTCGATAATAAGAAAAAAATTAATAATGTGTTGGGCGACGCCGCAACTGAATACACTCCTGTATACATCTAGGCATCGACAAAATGAGATGATCGATGTCTGGTTATGGCACCTTCTTCCAAGCAACTCGAACTTCGTGCAATATGGGGACGTGCGTTGTCTTGCTGAAAAAGGACGTGTGAACGGCCCTCTAAAAAGATAAAACGTTGACGTTGTTGCCACAATATGCTTTAAATATACTCAGTATGTTGCCAAAAAACAAGTTGATGAAATTATTTTTTCTGGGTGTAACACTTCTAATGTCAATGTGTATATTTAACTGTAAACCATTATTCTGTCCACTTTTAGAAGATTAGTGGAATCGGTACGCAGAAAACCTCACATTTTATATCTATAATGTCGCAAAGAACTCTATGCCAAGATACAAACAATACATACGAGTATATTGCGACTGGCAAGCTTGAGCACTAAGGATGCTCCAAGCGGCATCGCGTCGTCCGGCCACGTCACTGTCGTGGCCCAGAATTTGAACTTATGTCATGTGACGTCACGACCGAAAAACGACACGCGAGGACGGTCGGCTACAGCACCCAAAAGAAAATATCATAACTTCTTTAAAATTTAAGCTATCGGAATAACTCTTTCAGATTTGTGAAAGATATCAGTCATACTGGTATATGAAAGTGAAACTAGTAGTATTTTCGACCATAAGAAATTTCCTAATTCAATATTAACACAATCCACTATCGCTTAAATTCAGCCGGATTTTATAATGAAAATTGGATTTGTTGTGCCATTGTGCGAAGCTGTGACGAGCAGTCCACTCATATCTTATTCTGATCGAACTGCCATACTTAGGTAATTTAAATAAAAAAATAAGTTTTTCGATAATACCCTCCTCACAACTTGCTTTATGCCCTTTATAACTGTCACAAGTAGAAAAATGTTGCCACGCTGCTAAAAGTTGAACGTCTTCCTTGACTGGTAATTTGAAAGCGAGTCATTAGTAACTCAAAGTATGAATAAAATTGACTTTCTTAAAAATCGATCCTTCGTTCCTAGGAAATGTATCTCAAATTATTCTGTATAGCAATTGCTATTCGTATTTTACAAATGCATCTGAATAACGTATCGATATCGGTAAGATTGTATCATGACATTACAATGTCAATGCAGATATCAACCATTTAATACCTCATTGGAGAGTGTTCAATCAATAGGTATTATCAAACACCCAAGGAGGTTGCAAACAACCCAGCGAGCTTCAATTTCATACTCAATTGAGGCTTTTCCACAATGTATTGCAGTAACGCAGTGCCCATCAGTTGGCATAGATGACAAGGATATATTTTTACAATTATTGTATCGAAAAGGAAACTTACTCCGATCTGTAAGGGATCTTTCTGACACCTGCCGTGGTCACTGGAACTGCCTGGGTAAATTGCTTACCCTTTAAAATACTTAAAATCTTTTTCAGTATGACGATAATGTTCGCGTCTTTTGTCATGTTGACAATAAAACTCATAAAACTGAATGTGACGAAATTAGCACGTTGATCATCTAATACCGAGGGATTTATATTTATTCTGAAGCAAACATATTGCGAAATACATATTTCAAAACTTCACAGAAACTAAAAGCAGTCTAAAACCAAAATTTGGTTATACAAAGCAGCCACGCTACAGAAACCTCATGATTATTATTAAATTGAAATGTTAAGGAGGTAATCTGCTATTTCATTTTTCTCTGCTTATTAGGTATTACCAAACAGCGTTTCGTATGATGTTAGTAAGGTAAGCAAATTGAGTTGATTGCCTAGCAGCTTTATTAACACGTACATTTACTTGAAACATATTTTATTTCTGGCCTAGTAGAAAGGACTTCGCCAAGTTCAGCTCTAATATACTACAAAGTTCATAGTTTTCATAGACCGTAATTCCTATAATGCGTATCTATGGCTCTGCAGTAAACAAATACGTCAGAGATGTATGATACCACTCACCTTTTACTTGATTTCGTGCTCAAAAGGTTGCTGATATATTCAAAAGTCGAACCCATTTTCTTCTCTGCAGACGTCACTTTAGCACCTATCACTTTAGATTTGAGTTTGTAGAACATTATAATATCCTATTTATTTATATACATTAGCATGTCTTCAAAGTCATTATGTTCGATATCGTGATCATATTTTGTTTTTTTACTTGTGTGGTGCGCAACCTTATCTCCTTCGGATTGAAAACATCTGAACGCTACAAGGTTTTGTGTGAATATCAAATATCAATCAATGTTGCTTTGGAATGGACATGATGTTAATTTTATTGATGTTTGTATCTTTGTGATTTCAAAACATATTTTTAGCCCACCCAAAGGGTCAAACCATTTTTTTGTTTTTGCATGTGATGTGCATAAAGATAATTTTATGAGACCGTTGAATATCTTATAATAAATGATCGCGTGACCGCAAAAATAAAAAATAACTCGGAATTTATCGGGAATAATTTCCAATTTGATTATTTTCACGCATACATTTTGAAAGGTATCGTGATGATGTTCAAGCTTCATGTGTGAGAATGGAAAGTAAAAGTAAAATTGAAGCTTGGATAATATGTTTTAACATAAAAATAACAGTTGAACATTTCAAGACGTGCCGAGTACTTTATAATGTTAGGATATTAAATTTACTGTCTTTTAAAATGGCGGACTGGCAGGTTGTTAGAGTTCAAATAGAAGAATATTGGCATACAATTTTAGAAAAATACTGTTTGTTCAAGACATTGCAGGTACTAGCATGTGTATTTGCAGTTTGAATGAAATCAGTTTTGTTTATAGGATAAACCCATACAGTGGACCCCCAATAATCCGGCCCCTGTCTAATCCGGCGCCCCCTGTAGTCCGACATGTCTTTGAATATGTATTACATACATACGTATTTGACAATCTTCGCTAATGTAGATCACGCAGGTTTGAACAGGTTACAACTTGTACGCGCCACCGCTATCGTGCTCGACGCGTAAGCATTGTTTTACTTAGTTTGAATTTGACTACTTGTGATAGCGGTACGGCCTAGCGTGCGTTCATTGTTTACTATTTATTCATTGTGTATTAAGTATAGTACGTAGTAATGTCATCACAAACTCACAAGCAAAAGCACAAAACATTGACAATTAAAGAAAAATGTGATATTTTAAGCCGCTTAAATCGCAATGAAACTTTCAGTACATTAGCAAGTGAATACGGCGTAGGCCGATCTACAATTTATGACATTAAGGCCCGTATCGTCAGTCGTCCCTACAATTGTAGGGCGCATTTATGGCCTCCTTGATTGTCATACTCCTTTCTCTCCTTCAAAAATTTATAGATTACACTTGTGCCGTGTCAGCGTCAGCGCTCTCCTATTGTAAAGATATGTTTTCTTTTTAAATTGTAGGAAATTTTAGGCTGATAAAACATGATATAACTCATAAGCAAGCACAATTTGATTGCAAATAGATGTTTGTGACATAACCTCAAAATAGAGCGCTGACACGGAGAAGTAGAAAACTATGACAATCAAGAAGGCCATAAAGGCGCCCTACAATTGTAGGGACGACTGACGATACGGGCCGAAAAGAAAGCACGAGAAGATCAAGAAGTTCGTGTCGAGTACTGACTGCGGGCCAGGCAAGAGACAGACACTCAAGAAAGCTGAACATCCATAAGTGGTACATGTGGTTTCTTCAGGAAAGAAATAGGCATGCACCAATTTCAGGACCCATGTTGGCCATGAAAGCTAATTATTTTTATAAGGAAATAACAAAAAAAGATGATTTTGTGGCCAGCAACCAGCAAAGGATGGCTAGAACGTTTTAAAAGTCGTCACGGCATACGTATAATGACTATTACAGGAGAGAAACTTTCTTACGATGCCACCTGCATAGAGCCCTTTAAATTAAGATTTTTGCAAATGGTGAACGATTTAAATCTTGACCTGTCACACGTGTAGAATGCAGACGATTCGGGGCTTTTTTGGCGTGTGACGGCTAACAAAACTTTTGTTCCCTGTAACGAAAAATCCGTACCTGGACGAAAAGTAAGTAAAGAGCGTGTAACCATACTACCATGTGCTAACGCTGCAGGCACACACGCGCTTAAGATGATGGTCATTGGGAAATCTAATAAATCACGTGCATTCAAAAACATTGATTTACCTGTACACTATTACTGACAAAAAAGTGCATGGATGACAAAAGTCCTTTTCAAAAAGTGGTTTGATGAATGCTTCGTACCTGAAGTTAGAAAATGGTTAAAAGATCATAATTTTCCTCAAAAAGCGTTGTTGCTTCTTGATAACGCTCCCGGTCATCCGTCTGAAGAAGAACTAACACTGAGGATAAATGCATCACTGCAATGTTTCTTCCGCCAAATTGCACTGCACTGATTCGATCAATGGACCAGAATATTATTCAGTTTGTCAAGCAAGACTATAAGAAAAACCTACTTCTACGAGCCGTATCAAAAGACCAACCAATAGAAAAAACTTTAATATGAAAGACTTGGTTTTTGCTCTTTGTCAGTCGTGGAATGCGTTACCGTCATCAACTATTAAATCGTCTTGGAAAAAGTTATGGGCAGATATAGTCACCACTCCTAGCAACGTTCCACAAATCAGTGTTACTTCGGAAGTTATAGAACAAGTCGCTACTGAAACACAGATAAGTCCGGAAGATTTGGAAATCTGGTGCCGTGGAATGGATAAAGAAGAAAATGTTTTTCATGAGATGTCTGACGAACAATTATAAAAGAGGTTTCTAATTATACAACAAACAATCAGGAAAATAACGACGACGTGATTGGAACTGCTCCACAAGTCACAGCACAAGACGCAATTAACGCCTTTGAGCTAGGTTTACAATGAGCTGAAGAGAATGGTACATCCTACAACGCACTTTTGCTTTTGAGAAGACTGAGGGACAAAGCTCTGATCTCGCGTTATAACAACCTTAAACAAAATAAAATTGATGAATATTTCCAAGCTTCATAATTTGCTAAATTCATTAATGATTTTGATTAATAATTCTTGATTATTTTGGTACTTAGTACTTATGTATGTGCATTTATGCTTAATTTTATAATAAAAAATAAGATCTCTATTGTTATTTAATTTACTAAATTCGACATACATAAACTATGTATGATTTGTACTTCAAAGTACATACATATACATAACATATATAATCTTACCATTGGATATGTAATTTTGTCGGATTACAAGGTACTCTTTTGAGAGACTATAGGGGGTCTTAAGCAGTGCTCTATAATCTGACAAATTCGATAGTCCGACACTGCCCTGCATAATGTTTGTCGGTTTACCGGAGGTCCACTGTATAAGCCATATACAAGAGCATTTTTGAGTAAGTTTATATTTGTTCTTATTACGAGTATTTCATTTTCACCAGAAACAAGTTGATCGAAACTTTGAAAAAACATCATCATCTGAAACTTGTAAGTCATTAAAACATTACATTAAATTTGGAGGGTACCCAGTACCCATCGTTCTCGGGATAGGAGGTCTGTAAATTAAGAGATGAAACTGATTCATTTAAATTTATAAATATAATTACAATTTTATAATGTCACCCTCAAAATGACTTCCTTCGGAAGTCACACACCGCTGGAGACGGTGCTTCCACTCCTCATAGCAGTGCAGGAACTCCGATACTGGAGTAGCCTTCAGCTGGTCGGTTACAGCCTTTTGAATGTTTTTGACTGTCCCAAAAAGCAGTTCCCTTGAGGTGGTTTCTCATCTTCTGGAAGAGAAAAAAGTCACAAGGACTCAAGTCAGGCGAATAAAGAGGCTGAGCAGCCTCAGGACCGGTTTACTAGCCAAAAACTCGTTTATCTAGCATTCCCAGTTGTTTTTGATCAGATGAACGAAGGTGTTAGTTAATTTTAACTCTTCCCCCATCATTCTGACTGTCAACTGAGGTCTGATTTTCATCGGATTCTGTTGATATTTTAATCGGTTCTTGAAGATGAAGGCCTTTCGCATCGTGGTTCATCTTCAATCGATTCCCTTCCTTTTTTTTATACTCCAACTACCAGGAAGGCCTAAGGCCAAGCACCCATTGGGTACCGTGGGGCTATAGGGGGATACATGGGAAAGGGGGGACGCCACACGGACTCTGGCGAGGGAACACGTGTACATGCAACATGCACACATTCTGGCTCCGCCTACGAGATCCGCCGGGTGGTACCTCTGCGTTCGACTGTCAGAGATCGTCTACCACCTACGGAAAATCACAACATACATAGCCAAGAGAAAAATTTCTCCTGGGACGGGACTCGAACCCGCACAGCGCACGGCGACTGATCAGGAGACCGAAGAGTCTACTACTGCGGCCACCGCTGCTGCCTTCCTGCTGAAAATACCTTAAACCACCAAAAAACCTGGACTCTTGACAAAACACTATCTCCGTAGGTCTGTTTAGCAAGAGTTTTTGTTGGACATTTACGCCCCGGCACAACAAAGATGCAGCGCGGCAAAGCGGCAGCCGCCTAAACGTTGCAATAGCTGGTCATTTAGCCATAAAACTACGAACAAGTGCAGGATTCGACAGGATAGAACTAAGGCTCGGGGTATCGCCGACACGCCGACGCCGGGAATTGCTGTTCATATTCAGTTAATACATACAGCAGATGAAACTGAGAATATTTCTCCCATTGCTTCCTTCAGCCATGCTTCCTCTTCAGTGCTGTTCCCTTCCCGAAAACGTGACAAGAAGGCACATTTGAATATTCAGTCAAAAGAAATTGTTCTCAACGTGTATAAGAGCGAAATTTTAGAGCATCCTGAAATGAAAATTCATCATATTATAAGACTTGTGGCAAACGACACAGGCTTATGCCCTAAGACAAGTTTCAACATTGTTAAAGAATATGAAAAAAAAAAAACAAAAAATTGTCTCCACCACACACATGCATTACACGAAGCTGTTGGATAGAGTTGATAACTTTGATCGGAATGCCTTCCATGAATTTTTTGAAAAGCAGGAACTTCCCACCATAGACAAAGTATTACAGGAGATTAATAGTGATTAAGACTTACCTACTTTCAAAAGGGCCACATTGTAATGGGTGAT